GCTATGGAAGTTCTATAATATTAAATTCTTGGTATAACAAAACAAGGGTGTCATTTTTAAAATTTATTAAGTTGCTTTATATACAATTTAAAAAAAAATGTTCATTGCGTTATTAACTAAACTCGACTGACACCATACATGATGAATCTAGGACAGAAGTCACGGGACAAAAATATTTTTGTATTTTTCTTGAACTATAATATATAAAAGCAATTTTGTAAACAAAAATGTCTTCTAAAAAATCAATAATGATCAAATAATTGTTAAGAAAACAATTTGTCAAAGTTGCTTGTTACTTAAATGGCTTCATGGTGCCAAAAAATATATCCTTAGCATGATTTAAATTTGATAAATCTTCATTTACCAAGGCTTTTGAACAATTTCCTTAACTGAAACATGAATAAATGTAATAAAAAGTAATTATTTCAAGATTTCTCTTATATATTCAAACAATTATAAACAAATTATTTGTGAATTTTTGTCCTGTGACTTTTTTTAATATCAAATTTGTGAATCAAATTTGTGACTTGTGACTTTCTGTCCGTTTACCTAAATTTTTGCCAGGCTTAAGTTATTGTTGAAATTTTTCCAGTAACCACAAAATATATCTGAACATTCAAAAAGTTTTGAATAACATTTAAGATATTTGTATTATGGTCGAAAGTTATAGTATTTTTGATGTACATAATGCAATGTGAACATGATCATGTACATAACAAATTCATTTAACTGAAAACTTAATTTATTACATGGTATTACATAACAAATTCATTTAACTGAAAACTTAATTTATTACATGGTATTTTTTTAATCGGAACAGAAATCATTTCCTTTGATCATCTTGTATTTATTTTTTATTTTAGAGGTGATATATATGATGAATATGGTGCTGATGATTATGTTATGTTTATTGTGAAATTTTGCTTTCAATGCTTTATTAAATACATTTTGGATTTCAAATTGTTGTTCAAATTTATAGCCAAGGGGAATAACTAAAAAACAATTCCTAAATTGATGAAATACAATAGGTAGATACAAAAATAGGTCTAGGTTGGTAAATACTTGGTCGAGTATGGTTCAGACTAGGTCGAGTATGGTTCAGATTAGGTCGAGCATGGTTCAGACTAGGTCGAGCATGGTTCAGAGTTGGTCGAGAATGGTTCAGACAGATATAAAATGGTTAAGTACTGGTCGAGAACAAGTTCAGACTGTCAAGTATGGTTCAGACTAAAGTCGAGAAATATCAAGTAAATTTCAGACCACTTCAGACTGGTCGAGTAAAAATCAGTACAGTCGAGTACAGACATAGGCCATTTCAGACTTTTATTGGTTTGTAGTGTATTGTCCGTGTTTTTTCGAGTGCAACATTTAAAACGTCCGCATTTTTCAACAAAAGGTCCAGATTTTTTAAAAGAAAATGAGAATAAGAAAGAAGACCTTATTTGGTCTTAAAAACTGACCTTTTCTAGTTTTTAACTGTAATTTAGCAAGGACAATATTGTCACAAAAATATATTACTATGTTGATCAAATTCAACCCTTTTCAATTTAATGATAAATTTCTGTTCTGAAAACATTTTACCATAACCTTGCAGTATTAAGATATATAAGAAATCACTGGGTCCTATTTAAAATGGTCTTTAGAACCGAGTACAAAGACTCATATTCTTTTTTAATTTCATTTCATGCTACCTTTGTTTTTATAGTTAATAATATTTTATGATTGGTATATATTATAGTGACGAAAAAACATAGGAGGTAGAAAAACTAAGGAAAAGCATTAAAAAATCAGAAAAATTCAATATAAACCAAAAAATACTACTACAAAAGGCCTCCCCCCAAGAAAAAAACACAAAATTACAATAACATTTGATATAAATGGAATATCTAAAAAATGAAAACGTCACTTTATAAATGTCATGCGTCCGAAGCGGTTTCCTGGATTTACCTTCATCCGGAACGCTAAAAGCCGAATATTTGAAAGCTAACGATGTATAAGAACCGAAACATTTGAAGAGGTATATGACCAAAAGGACCTAATAAATAGCCAAATCCATCTAAGGTCAACTTTGCCTGGAGTTGCAACCTTAGTTTCTTTAAAACTTTTGTTTTCATAAACGAACAATTTCAAATGATTGATTGTTGGTTGCTTAACTTCCAGCGGCAAATATTTCATGTATATTCAGGACGAGAAAAAATTAACAAAAAATCCAATATGTAGGTCCTGTAACAGAGGACGTTTTGGGTGAAGTCGGGAAATTTATACTGCCACTGAAAATGAGGGTATATTGGATATGGACAGAAACTTTGCCTTGCAACAGGCCACCTACGGACCCCCATAGAGCTATTGCAATGGTTCTTTACATTGAGCGTGGCACTCTCTCTACACGCCACATTCTTACTGGACATGGATGCATACTTGAACATCACGCACAACCAAACGGACGTCCCACTTTGGCAAGGGTTTTACTGCCGGTCGGAAGAGGACGTAAGTGACCATATTTCTATTCCCCAGTCCCCCTGGGAGGTAAACAATTTTAGAAAGGTTTGTTATAAATCATTCAGTACCAAAGTAATGGCTACTGAGCTGGTAGTAACCTCGGGGACTTATCCAATCAAATGTATTAAATAAACATAGAAATAAATAATCCGTAAGCTTTGATACGGTCCTTTTGAAATAATAAAAAAAAAATGTGTATATATTTATCAAAGGTACCAGGCTTATAATTTGATACGCCAGACGCGCGTTTCGTCTACATAAGACTCATCTGTGACGCTCAGATCAAAATGGTTAGAAAACCAAACAAGCATAAAGTTGGAGAGCATTGAGGACCAAAATTCCAAAATGTTGTGCCTATATACGGCTAAGGTAATCTATGCCTGGGATAAGAAAATCCTTAGTATTTCGAATAATTCATACTTTTGCAAACAGTAAATTTATAAAATTGACCACATAATTGATATTCATGTCAACACCGAAGTGCTGACTACTGGGCTTGTGATACCCTCGGGGACGAAACGTCCACAATATGCATACACCTCACAAATATACATTGTCAATTTTTATTCTTTTAATTTCTGATGGAAATAAAGCTACGATGGGGTTTTAATTCTGTGTGACCAATCATAGCTTACGGTTGATTAGCCTCCTCTTCACAGTAGGAGCATTTGAACATTGTTCGTGATTTCCATTTCTAGAACAATAACACATATTACCAACAAAATAAATAGTAAATGAAACGTTAAGGGTTTATTTTCTGTTAAAAAAACACATTTACCTGCTTTACATACTATGTGTACGTACGTCTCAATCCAACATGTCTGAGCTCATATAAAGATTGTTTACATCACGAAATATTGACTGCATGAAATCCATATCGGTACACTAACATGACGATTTCTGAATACAAATGAACGATGCCTTTTTGAAATGTAGCTCTTTATACAGCATTATCAAATTGGTTTAATGCATTGTTTCGTGCTTTGAAAAGTACTTTATTTGAAGCTTTTCATTGTTTTTTATACGTAAATGGACTGACATATTACATTTTAATCCAGATGATTTTTTTTTCACTCGATAAAACAAGGACGCACTCGAAAAAACACGGACTGCTCTCGAAAAAAACACGGACATATAAAAATATATTTACTCTCCAAAATGTCCTTTTCAATTCAAAAACAAGAATTTTGTAAAATGTCTGTATATCTAAGTATATATAGATTCCATGTATGCATTTCCGTTGACATTTGCATAGGAATAAGCATAAAAATAGCTTTAATCTATATATTGGAATAAAGCATTATAAGGCTAGATTAAACGTTTTTAAAACAATATAATGTAGGGTTGATAATATCTCATTATCACAAATACTAATTTAACTTCTATGATCTTGCATATAAGGTTCTAGAATCTTTTTTTTACGTCCTACCAGAAAGAAAGTCTGTTGGTTTACATTTTTTAATAATATTCACTCACAAAAAAGATGTCGAACAATTGTTTGCCTTGCAAAAAAACAATCTACCTACGGACCCCAATTCTGACTGAATTTTTATTCCGCACAGCCAAACGGGGCAGTCGTATTCATCAGACGGAGAAACTGGGACCAATTTTTATATCCCGGGGTTCTCTAGGTAATACACAGTTAGGAAAAAAACTTAAAATTGACACTCAAAATTTTTCACCACCCTCTTTTCCTTCCTTTCTAACAATTCAGGGTTTATATTTGTGTTATGCATGTGTATATTTATGGAAAGAGCATCTTCCATAGATTTGATTTCCAATAGTTATAATGGTGAAACATAATCTCTTGTTGGTGTAACCATGGCAACAATCTGCATTTATTTGATACAAAATATTGCAAAAAGGGGGGGGGGGGGGTGAAAATGTCACAAAAGTCTCCAAAATTTGGTCCAAAGGAGAATTTCAATCCATTAGAGTGATACCTTTCCTGAAACTATAGACATTTATCTATCAAGAGGTCCAAAAAAAATCATATGCATTTCTGTTCGTTTTTCCATAAAATTGAATTGCAAAGATCGAGGGTCAAATCTTTGTTGATAAACACTACAATAATTTCTGGACCTAGGGGTGGTACGGATGTGAAAATACGGACTGTCAAACAGAAAAGTTGCCTATAAAACATGCTGAAAATAATCTAGAGGATCATATAAACCCACTTGGAAGGCTATATTATTCTTCAACTACCTAAAAATCAATTTTATTGTACAAAAACTTTCATATTTCAAAAATTCACCATGGCCAAAATGCGAAACTTAACTTCTAACTGTGTATTGCTACCCTAGAGGTACAATTTAATAAGTTTTGGAACCATTAAAGGTCGTTGTAAAATAAATTTAGAAAATGCCTGTTCTAAGTCAGGAAAATAGCAGTTGTTTTTCACTTGTTCCGTTTATTGATAGCGTTTGATTTTGTCAGTTTTTATGGATTTGAATTTGCCATGGAGTTCGGTATTTTTATTGTACTTTTTTCCATCGTCTCACCAAATGATTTTCTGCCAATAACCTTTGCTGGATACCATTGCTTGTCATCTCTAAAGTAGGCAAGTATTTTTGTGCCAGCTTTGATAATTTCCTAATGAAAAAGATGAACATTTAAATTATGTTAATGAATATGTTAATTAAAAATTAAAGGAGATAATAGTTAATTCTTTGCAATTGTCTCCCATTTTAACATCGAACTTTAGTCATTGCTTTATATGAAGAATTTTTTAGCCTGGGCAAATAAAACGAATGCAGAATGTGGTATAATTTATGCCTTCCCTTTAAAGAACAAGTGATCTTTCTTAATTAGATTTTATATTTTCCAAATGAATTATATGTATATCTTTGTTTTGGTCAGTGTCTTTTTGGTTTTTGGTAGTAATGCAATATTTCATATTTCTTAAACGTTTTTATTTGTCCATGAGAAAGGGTAGTTGTTGTAAAAAACAAATTATATGAAACCTTGTGTGTTTATTTCATAACTTTATACAGATTGAATTTTATTTGGTGCAGTGTTTTATTTCTTAGACACATAAGTTTATTCTTGACAATGTGTTAGACATCTATTAGAAATGAATACTAACAAATACATAAGAATGAAAAATATTCGATTTTATTTAAACGTTTAATGAATAGATTTATATCAAAACAAGCGTACAACAGTGGTCATAAGCTCTGCTTCTTTCTACTTACTTCTTTATGTTCAAGACGTCGGTACGACTTCTCTTTTTCTTCCTCAATTTGCACATGGTCAATTATCTTGAATACTTTTGCTGGTACATGTTTGACAATAGGATCTCTCGGAATATACCTTCCTTTATGTATTTTTATTTGTCTTGCTTCTGATGTAGTTGATGCCCCGTTTTCTGTTTGGTCTTTCGATGGTTCCCTATGTTGAAAACGCAATATATATAGTTACACATTATATGTAACTAGATTTACCAATATTTTTACATCTAAAAACATGTTTACTAGCCCTCTATTGCTCTGGTATTACATATGATACAACAGTTTATCGTGCTAATTTATTCATGAAATAAGATTTCTTTCGTGTTTTACATGTGTTTGTTATTTGTTTTGAAAATGAATTTTGAAAAATATTTTGGCAAAATATTTTACATAATTATAAATATCGACTGAAAAAATAATATTCAAAACAAATACCAACAACACATAAAATACACAATATCATGTTTTTATTTATTTTTCGATTAAAAAATTGATATTTCTCAACTGAACTGTTTTTCAAGTTCATATTTTTTAGCAAAACTATTAATACAGTATTTCTCAACAAAATTTCATTTTAAGTGGCGATTTGCCTTTATAATGCAAATAAAAAAAAACCAACAATATGTGTCCGCTGAACAAAATATCACAAAAGGATGAACAATAGTAAAATTGAAAGAATTTTATAGAAAAGAAATTAAAAATTGTTTTAATAAATTTTTTTCTTGCACGAAGTTTTAATGGCAAAACAAGACTGGGACGAAAGAAATAATTGACAAAAACGTGTCTTTACAAACCAATGAAATACGTGATTCTAATGAGAAGGTCAACAGATTAGTGACCTGTTAATGAATAAAATTGAGAATGGAAATGTGGAATATGTCAAAGAGACAACAACCCGACCAAAGAGCAGACAACAGCCGAAGGCCACCAATGGGTCTTCAACTCAGCGAGAAAATCCCGCACCCGAATGTGGTCTTCAGCTGGCCCCTAAATAAAATTGTGTACTAGTTCAGTGAAAATGGACGTCACACTAAACTCCAAAACATATAAATGAACTAAAATTAAAAAACATACAAGACTAACAAAGGCCAGAGGCTCCTGACTTGGGACAGGCGCTAAAATGCGGCAGGGTTAACCATGTTTTGTGAGATCTTAACCCTGCCCCTATTCCTCTAGCCAATGTAGAATAAAGAAACACATAGCAATACGCACAGTAAAACTCAGTTTAAAAGAAGTCCGAGTCCGATGTCAGAATAGGTAACAAAAGAAACTAAGCAAAATGACAATGATACATAAATTAACAAAGGACTACTAGCAGTTACTGACATGCCAGCTCCAGACCTCAATTAAACTGATTGAAAAATTATGTCTTCATCATATGAAAATCAAGTACAATACCTCCCGTTAGAGGTTTAGTATCATGTCATCATAAAATATATGAGGAGAACATAACCTGTATCATGCCAACAACTGGTTTTAGAATAAATGTGTTTAATTCCGATGCAAAGACCCTATAAGTGAATCAATATTAAAGCCAAAATATGCAATCCTCAATGACTTGACAACAGTATCGTAACTATATCCTTTCCGAATAAGTCTGTTTAAAGGTTTGGTTAGCTTTTGAGGTGAATGCCGACATTTTTGTGCTTTGTAAAGAATATTACCATAAAATATTGGATGTGAAATACCTGAACGTATAAGATGTCTGCATGTTGATCTATATTTACGAATGATGTCCTTGTACCGATGATAAAAATTAGTAAATGTTTTGACTAGTTTGTGATATCGAAAACCCTGGTGTAATAATTTTTCAGTAATACAGAGATTTCTTTCGTTGAAATCAAATACGTTGTTACATACACGAGTGAATGGTCAACATACAATTAAATTGAGTTATGTAATTATATAACAAATACGTTCCCTTGTCACCATCTTATGGTGTTTATATATCTCAACTTGTACGATTCGCTCGTGTATGTAACAACGTATTAGATTTTAGCGAGAGAAATTTATGTATTACTGAAAAATTATTACACCAGGGTTTTCGATATCATAAACTAGTCAAAACATTTACTAAATTTTAGACTGCCGGTTCAACACAACAGCTGTTGACCTCGACTCAAGGTTAAATAACTTTAAATTCACTGTTCTGGACACCAAAAGAGGGAATGAAAACAAAACAATTCGTGCGTCCGCAGCGCTTTTCTTGATTAACCTTCACCAGGAAGCTCAAACCTAAACATTTGAAAGCTAACCAGGGATGTTTAAATGCGTAGAATGTTAGGAGCTCTATGACCAGTAAGGACCTAAAACTAATAGCCAAATTAATCAATTGCGTGAGCCTTAACTTATGAACGGGGAATTAAAAAACTAAAATGTTTGAAATCATGTCACTGTCAGTACTAATTAACTGACTACTGAACTGATGACATCATGGAGGATTAACAGTCAATCAGGAGAAGTTACGACCCAGTGCTAGTAAACGAAAATAACTCTTTATAAATATCTTGCGTCCGAAGCGCTTTTATGAATTAACCTTCAAGAGCTCAAACCTAAACATTTGAAAGCCAGCGTTGTATACATACGTAGAAGCGTTTGAGGCTATATGAACAAAAAGGACCTAAAACGTCGAATAGATCAGAAATTGCATGATTTATTTCATCCGTGTAACATCGGTTTTCCTATAACTGTGAAATCATGGTATTTAAATGCAAGCAATGCAGAAGCTGTTAGATTATAATTACCTTTATGATCTGCACGACTCTTTGCTTAGGTGCGAACAATAATCATGACCAATCAAAGAATATGTAAAGCTCTTTCTACTTATCTATGTCAGTACGGTTCTGTAACTTGATTATTACATTTTGAGAATCTGTACTATAAAATTAACCATGATTCAAATCGTGATCATGTACCAAGCATTTAGGTAACGTTATTTCTTTGATAATAATTCCTTAGAGTATACTATTGCTTTAACCTCAATAACAAAAGAACTATAAAAGCACAGATTGTAAAAATTTTAAATTATACGAATTTGATATCTTTTGTAGTTTTCAGTGTAAAATAATAAAAGTAATAGAATTTTAAATATAAAATAAATTTATAGTACATGTACTTACATCAATCTTAAAAACTTATCAGGTACTATCTCCATATATCTGTCGTCATTATACTGGATCAGATATCCTATAATATTAATCATCATACCTATTAATATGTGAGCTGCGTCGGATAGAAATCGACCTTATGCAAGTGCACATATACATTTACATATATAAAACTTTGATTGATTTTGGAACATTCAAATACGAAATAAAAGATGAATTTTGATCTCTTTTGTAGTGTTCTCATAACTATTAAATTTTCAAATAATTACAGACTTTGCATAGAGATTTTTTCAACCCGAATTAGGATAACAGATATATTTATATTCATTTGCGTAAGGTCGGTTTCTATCCGACGCACTCACAAATGTGATAACCACCCATTGTGTCGGATAAAATAATATTTGTAAAGTTGGGTAGACGATAGGAATGCAAAATTTGCCACGCGAGCTCATCCTTTGGCGTGCCGGATATTAACTTATTTAAATGTATATCCGAAACAGTTTTCAGTGAGTTTACTTCAACTGCCACACCAATTCAGACAAACATGTGTTTGGAAGGGGTGATCTGTAAGAAGCAGACGACGTTAATATTTTATAAACGAATGTACGCATGAAAAGTACGAAATAAAATTCTACTGGAACATATTGTTAACATCACTATAAGACTTAGCATGCTAAGCGACTATAAATCATTGCACACGTAGAATGGGGACAGTATAAATACTTTAACTTAAACAAGAGTGCACACGCTGAAAAGTCTCGCCTGATTTACTTATCATCATTAAATTCATATTGAAAGTCTGTAATATGAATGTTGTATTACAAGTATCACATACGCTTAACATTATCAATAATCATCAATAATCCATGAAAATAAGGTCAAGGTCAAATGAATCATGTCAGACAGACATGTACACCTTAAAATCATCCCATTCGCCAAATATATATAGTGGCCTTATTGCTAATAGAACCTGAGATACAGTCCAAACTACAAAAACTCAACATTGACCAATGAACCATGAAAATGAGGCCAATGTCATATGAACACTGCCAGACAGACATGTACACCTTACAATCATTTCATCTATACACCAAACATAGTTTACCTATTGCTTATAGTATTAAATAAATTGACAAAAAACTTAACATTGACCAATGAACCATGAAAAGAGGTCAAGGTCATATGATATCTGCCAGACAGATATTTACACATAACAATCATTCATGACACCAAATATAATGGCCTAATTGTTTATAGTATCTGGAAAATAGACCAAACAACAAAAAATAAACATTGTCAAATGAACCAAGAAAATGAGGTCAAGGTCATATGAAACATGCCAGTCGGACAATCTTTGCATACACCAAATATAGTTGACCTATTGATTATAGTATCTAAGATACGAACTTGACACCACGAAAACATAACCTTGTTCACTGATCCATGAAATAAGGTCAATGTCAGGTGATCCCTGTCTGATTGACATGTAGACCTTGCAAGGAACCCATATACCAAATATAGTTATCCTATTCCTCATAATAAGTAAGAACTTCACATGACACAAAAAAAAATTTCAAGCAGTCACTGAACCATGAAAATGAGGTCAAGGACAATGGACATATGACAGATGAAAACTTCGTAACATAAGGTATCTGCTTAAAAGTAATGAAGCATCCAGGTCTTCTTCCCACTAAAATATAAATCTTTATATAAATAATTTACGTCATCGTCGTCGCTGCCTCCGGATTGTAATCGCTTTGTCTCTTCTTCTGTGATTTTTGACACAGGCGAGACAAAGAGAACTACCTCAGGCAGAGTTGACTTAAAACGATTTTGACTGTTCTGTTGATAGATACTCTTGGGTTGATGGTCCTCCAACGTCCTGTGTTTTTTACTTCAAATTTCTGCTCCCGAGCACACCTGTCGAAGGTTATTCTAGGAACACGTGTTATGCGCAGATTAATTTATATGCCATATCCTTCTTTTCCATTACAGAGAAATTTACCGGTCAGCTTTCTGGCTAAAACTTTTGCAGGATACCATGAAAGATCGTCTTTAAAAAAGGCCATGACATCTGAACCAATTTCAAATATATCCTGAAAAACAATTTCATCTGAATACCGATAAGGTTAATTTTTCAATGCAGATGTCATATAGAAATAAAAGGCCGATTACAAAAATTTTGTGAATATTAAATTTCCTTGTGTAGGTCTTTCCTTTGTTTACAGGCTTAGTCCCATAATAAAAGTTGCTTTGAGAAATCTCTGTCTGGTTAAGACTGGTTTGCATAGAAACACAACCAAATAATGTACAGGCTTGTTTGCCTATCTAAACAATACCTCTCGTTTATATTTATTTGAATTTTGTTTTTAATTTTTTAAAGAAAAATAAAAACTACGACTGCAAAATCTCGGTGAATATTTTTTTAAATACTTTATATTTCTTACAGTTTGAAATTTGCACATGCATATCAATTATCTTTACGAAAAAAAAAACACCTTTCTTTTTAATACTCCAAATTATAGGCCAAATAAGGAATTGACACCATGTTTGTATTTTATTATTTTTTCTATGATATATTCAATGTTAACAATTTCGATTTTCTAAATATACAAATGAAGTTTATGCACATGAACTCATTCTCACCACAACAAATTTTGAGTAGGAATGGATCAGTGGGAAATCTGACTTCAAAATATTACCTCCCCTGTAAACAATGAAAACTTCATCGTTTCAATGTTTGTTCCGTTTTAGCAAGGACGCTATTAATGATTAATTCACAAGAAAACGTTCTGGTAAATAGTAACAATAAAAATGAATTGAAATAAAAAAAAAAATTCCATATAATTGTATCCTTTCCCTCCTAAAATAGCAAACGACGAGTACAACAGGTCATAGGAGCTTTGTGTAAATTGGTATAAAGTGTTGCTATGCGAATAAACTGAAGTACCAACTTCAATCAAATGTTGTAATTGCTGCATACCTCACTCGAGTATGCCAATTATCCGTATATGTATGCAGCTAGATCAGAGAAAAGTTCAGTGAAAAAATTACAAAGGAATTGATTGATATGCCTGAAAGATTAACACTTTTGAAATAAAGTTACTGAGCAAATTCAAACGAACATTATTCCGATGTAAGCATTGAATGTGAATACACTGAGAAGACCCCAAATGAAAATGAAATGAAGACTACCTCTTCTTTAAATTGTAAAACAAATAGTAAAAATCTTTAAACGGATAACCTACTTTGTAAAAATATTTATCTTTAATTTTTGAAAATGCACAAACACAACTTTTTAATCGTTTTATTCACGAAAAGACATGTTTCTATATTTAAAGTCCACGTGACAAGAACAAACCGGTGTATTTGAAAACTTAGATTTGAAAAATAGGTAAATTTTGGAAAATTGAAGCATGCTAAGGCCTGTGTGGAACATTCCAAAAACGGGTGACTTGAAAGATCTTTAGATTTTATATGTACATCATCTTTTAATTTTATTTATCAATATGCAGCAAAGACTCACATTTTTTTAATTTCAGTTTCACAATCTTCTAATGCAATTATCTCGATAAAATATCGTGTATTTGCATGTATATATTTTCTAATAAGACAGTTTAACAAATATTTTCTTTAAAATGCACGATTATTGCTAAGAGATAACTTTTTATCAGCATCGTCACTGGCATTGTTTTACTATTGATTTTCTCGACTTTTTCATAAAAAGAAATCAACACAATAGCTTTTTCGATTAGTGTTAATGTTCTCATTAAGATAATGGTGATGGTTTGGTGTATTGTTTAGCAGAGACAGTGACAAATATTACATGAATATCGGGTATAACATGTTAATGTGATATGAATATGGATATAAAACTAAGGAGATCTGGTATAATAGCCAAATGAGACAACTTTCCACCAGAGACCTAATGACCTAGAAGTTCATCGGACCCTGTTTTGTACTAGACCGACATGCTGAGCTGTATTTTTTAACGTGCTAGTTCAGAAATTAACAGTCCGCAGAAAGACTAATGCCACCCTTCCCGAACCAATTATTCTGACTCTGAGTCGACCAGTGTTTGTCAATACTCGCGTAACCGCGATACCACAGAGGCGGTTCTGTTCTTATCAAGACACATTACACCAAATAATTGAACATCTGAAATAACATCATATTTCTATGGATATTAACAGACTGACATAGCGTGGATGTAACTTTTATCCCGTCACAGATGCTGTCAAGAGCAAAAGATATACAGAACAAAATGAAAACTACAAGAAATAATGGTATACATTTGTAAATAGTAAAAGTAATGTAACTTGGATTGCCTACCTCAGTTTTATTTGAATCTTTTTGCTTTCTAAATAAACTTGGAAATCGATAATTTTCCATTTTCTATAATGTACAAGGAACATGCACACTATGATTCAAAATAATACAGATGTCATGATTAATGTATATTGTCATTAAAAATCTATTTTCGAAGTCGTTATATATTCCTAGTACTGTTCATCATTTTTATTTTTTTTTTGTATTTGTTATTGCTAAATTGTATTGTTTTACATAAAATAACAGACCTGTCGTTGTTCACATTCTTGTACTCTGTTTTATGGTTGGTATGCACTATAACCCTATCCTATTATTCTTTATCATTGTGGTTTACCCGAGATGGTGCTCTAATATTTTCAGCCAAAGAAATGTCACAGGAGTAAACCGATTTTTATTACGTTTGCTATTAAAACAAAATTTGAGTATGCGACAACTAGAAGTGATACGTGTTCAGATTCATATCCACAATTATGAGATAAATTATAAGCTCCCCTTGAAACAAAAAGCGATTAAAAACTATTATTATATATCAAAGTTTTGCATTTACCTTTGCTGGAACTTGTACTCGGGCTGAAAATCGGCGCGGACGTTGCTCCACCCAGTCTGATGTATGAAGAGATGTTACATCTGATGTACACCTTTGTCTTTTGAAATTTGTAAGAGGGTAATAAATCGTTCTACTAGCTGTCTGAGATATATTATCATCTTCTTTATCTCTTATTCTTGGTTCATATACAAAGACAAAAATACATTCAATTTGTCAGTTTTTCAATCTTATAATGTAATACAGAGTATTTATACCCACAAAATGAACATTTATCTATGAATAGTGTTACGAAGATTTACATGGAGCAGTTCCACTTTAGTATACATGCTTTTGTAATAAAGTAGTTCAACCCTCCTTTAAGATGCCCGGTTTTAGAAGGATGTGAGATGGAATATGATATTTTTTAAATACCATTGGCCGAGTTGTCATTTTTTTAAATAATGTAAGTTATGTTTAAAGTCTAGCAGAATGAACTACATATACTCAAAAATCAATATACGCTATATGATTGATATTAAAGCAAATATAGTTTCTTGCTTATTTTTACTTAAATGTTATTCCGAAACCCTGTCTGAAAAGGGAGATCATTCCATAATATGTAGTACATACCATTGTAAATATCATATCAATTTTCTATTCTTATCAGGCAGTATGGAAAGAATAACTATCCATTTCATGGTGTATACAAATTAGTAAAATATAAAATTGTGTAGGCTTTTTTTCGGGTGAATCATATTTTCATAAATTACATGACTGATATATGGAATGCTACTTAAATAAAAAAAAAAGTTAAATAAGATTGAAGAACAGGAAACAGAGAGTAAAAGTTTTGCTCAATATTGTGAGACAAACACGATTTATAAAAAGTAAATATTGACATTTTATATCCAACAGAAGCTGAGGTCATACTGGAACTCGAGAAGCATTGATCTTTTATACAAATTCTTGGCTTTGATTCATGTTTCTTGATTACTTTTTTAGATTTCGATTTTCATGTTTAAACTTTTTGTCGTAAGTACATGTAATTTAGATTTGAATTTTAATCGAAATCGCAAAATAAGTGATGAAATTTACTCTATATATCTGTTGGAATCGTGTGAAGTTGCAGTTATCTATTTTACCAACGTAGGTTTCGCTTTTTTTTACGTTTATATACGTTCATACTCACTTTCGACTTTATCCCTGCCATCTCTTTAATCACATGGATAAATGTTGCAGCGCAAGATTATGTCAAATCACAAACTGACACTTACAATTCCTTGGTTACCGAAATTCTTACAATGCAGTGAATTTGAACAATTCTGATATTACTGATAGTAATATGTTAGCATCAGCTTTGTTAGTGCAATGCTTAATAATATAGAACAAGGAAAAAGTTACCTAGATTTCAAATACTTTTTTGGTACAGTCTGGATAAACTGGTCATCATCGTATTGAACGAGGTATCCTAAAAATAATGAATGATACAACATTGTTTCGATATAGTTTTTAGAGGCTATTAAACCAAAACAGACGCATTGAGATTCCAAACTTTGTAATAAATTTCTATCCTGTATAGTTTGGAGACAAACCCTAAACTGAAAAGATCTCAGGCACAAGTCATAAAATGTTTCCATTATTTAGGAAAACATCAAAATAGATGCTAATTAAACATTACTGACCATTTTTTTTAACTATTTCGAAGAGCTTGTGTCAAGTGTGCCTATTAGCAATATGAGGACTGAAGTGATTAATAACGACTGTGTTTTCTGTGAATTAGATGCAGATATTACTGCTGATGAGATCAGAAATTTAATTCATGAGTTAAACGTGACTACATCCATTGTCAAGACTGTTTTTTGAATTATTTTCTCATTGTATACCAGGGTTTTATAATGCCATATTATATACTATATTGAATGCAGTTACTGTATTATGCTTAGTGTTTAAAGCTCGTGTTTAATTGTTAAAAATGTATGAATATTTAGGCAACACATGTTAAAAAATTGTTCAGAAGCATATCCTGTTACTGGCTATCGGTACGGCAGATGCAATCGGGAACACAGATCCGACGATGACAGGTAGATTTTAGGTCATGTATTTTTCAAAAGCAAAGTTGGCGCTTCACAAAATAACAAATATATTAATGAGCGTTCACTCGTTTTAAGGAAAATTTAGATTTCTTTAATGTTTCTATTCGCGCAACTGATAAACTATTTTACACACATACGTAACATAACAAATATCATGACCCAAAAAGTTGGCGTATAGATAAAATATTCCATTTTTCATGGTTAGAAAAATTCATCTGATTCTGTTAAGATTACATTAAAATCTTTTCCCCATATTTCCAAAGTATCCGAAAATGAATCATATAATACCAGGCAAAAAGAAACAATGTGCAATATAAAAATAGATATATAACTTGCCTAGCGTTTTTTTGGCCAGAATTCTTGCCGGATACCATGCCTTATCATCTTTGAAATAAGCCATTACTTCAGCACCGATTCTTGGTATGTCCTACAACAATAATGAATACAAAGACTTGCATTCTAATAAATACTATAAAGCTCTTTTACAACGGTATGTGTTCTTATTTGTTATGTCATTTATATGTAAGAATACAAACACTCAAATTCCCTCTTCTAATGCATAGATATTTAAAAAAAATCATCTCCACTTTTTACATGCACAGTTATTCCTTGTTTCCATAGTAAATCCAACTTTCTGTTGAAAAACACGCCAACTAAACGTATTTATAAAGAAATATGCTATTAATAAAATATCAAGTATCATGTCAGTTTCACACAATTCTAACCTTCTGTTTCAATAAGTTTTTTTACAACGTATAATTAGTCAACTCCTAATCAAGAGATTTGTCATTTAGTTCCCGGTTGACATTCACTATCTTCACCAAAGAATTCTTAGTCAGTCAGTTTGTGAAACAGACAGACCATTGTGTATCTGTGGTATCCAATATTGCAAGGTCAATGTAGTAGATTTGATCAATATAGTGACACACTATTCAATTATGTAGTAGAACGTAAGAGGAACTTAAATGATAATGTTAGCTTGTTTTGATAAAACTCTGATCTATATCTGTGTACAATACAAGTCTGCAAGAAGATAAACTCAGTTTTTTTCTCAAAGCAATTCTGGCGGTCTTATCTAAAAACAATTCAAAGGAATGAATTATTTACTATTATATATTTATTTGTAAAAGTGTTTTGTTTTCTATTACATCGGTTTTTTAGAGTTTAAGGCATATTCCTAACAAATTCTATGTACCTTAGTTACTTCAATAATCGAGATTGATTAGAGTGAGATTTGAGTGCTTACAACCTTGTATAACTCCGCAACATGTGTCTTGGCCTGTCTTTCATAATGAACTTCGTCAGTCGAAGTCTTTTATGATATCTTTTTTTTACTTTTAAGGACGATGCTGATGATTTTGGACCCTTGAAAATCTCCGTTTTTTTAATACTTTTTTCAGACTTATACCTGGAGCTTGACATATTGAAAAGAAGCTCGTCTTTTGTTGAAGGCCGTATATTGAACTCTCGATGTACCTTTTTTGTTGCATTTGGTTGATGTCTCGCTGATGTATATCCCAAAATCGCATTCAATTCATAAAAAAAAAGCATTCATTAGTGGCCGTTCATGTCCTTTGCGCGATAATATACGACGCGTATACGCGTTATATTACAAACATATACGCGTGTTTTGCTGTTATATACGCGTATATTGTTGTTTTACAGTCGGAAAGCAAGCCCTTAGAAACGACCGTTGTTGCTACTTTCTAAAAACAACAATGGGACTGATATTAAAATCCTCCATTTTGAAGTTGCGTTATTTTCGCGGAAAAATGAAATTGGCGGCAATTTAGAAATTTTCTCTTTTCTGTTTCTTTATTTAAGGAATGACTGTAATATTTTTTCTGTCTATGAAGAAATAACATCAAAAACGTGGTGCACACTGAATAACTCGCGTAGCGGGTTATTTTAAAGTGTGCACCACATTTTTTATGTTATTTCGAATAGACAGAAAAAATATTACAGTCATTTCTTATAATTTAATTCTAAATTCCATTTTAAACCGGAGTAAACAATGAAAAAACGTTGATGACGTCACGGTCACATGACAAAATTATGTCTATGAGCTGATAAACAAAACAACGTCAGCCAATCAGAAGACGCGTTACATCCAAAATTAAATTATTTCCCGTTGGAGTCAGTAAGTGGTGTCATAAGCATGTTCCTTATTATAATAGAAAATATAATAAACGTATTTACACTTTTGGTATTTAGCTATATTTTGCCTCCGAATGACCTTAGATCTACTCCGAATAACCTTTTGACGTCAGGCAACCGTGAATCACTTTTTAATTGTGACGTCAAATGTTTTGAATTATGATGTCAAAGTTTACGGGAACCTGTGTGATTTTACGTAATTGCGGACAAATTTGCATACAAGTGTAAATACGTCTATTCAAATCGGCCGTCCTTTAACAAATACGTTGAAAATTAAGCGAGTTGTCTGTTCGTTTTTTCTACTATTTTCACAGATAAACTTACATTATATAAATTCTACAGAAGTGTAAAAAAAATAATACGTATCTCAAAGAAAAACAACTATTTAAAGTCTAAAGATCTGTCACCCCTTATGAAATCCCGTTTGAACTAAATTCCGAAGGAAAGACATTTTTTGACATTGCAGTTTTTTTTTGTCTCACACATCGATGTCAAAATGCATGTGAACCGAATGTACACAACATTTAGTAGTCGGAAAGCTGACCCCGGTTTGACCTCATTTCTGAAGTCAACAATTGAAGTCATGTGACTACCATATTTGGGCATTTTTTTGTCATTTTTTGTTCAAAAGAAACGAGTCGATTTCATTCAAAAAGTCGTATCAAATGAAACCAAGACGTGTTGTACATTAAATGACAACTGCGTATACTTTTTAGAAGTTCTAACATAAAAATTGTTTTGATAATACGTACTGAATATTAGAATACGAAGACTTCAAACCCGAGCTCGTCACCTGTCGAGTCAATTTTTTTCAACAGAGAAGTTTAATTTTTTTCTTAATTCTGGGCAACCTATGCTGAATTTCAATTATGTGATGAGACTTTTTATGAACTGGCCTATGTCAAATTTGTGCCACTTAATACGCTGTAATACGCAAATGTGCCACTTCGATCTGTCAAAATTTCTGACGAAGCGGTTGCGATAGTAATTTATGAGTTACGTCCCTTCGTTGACCCTTCAAACAAATTCGAAAAATTGTTATTTTATTACCATATACTGTTATTTACAAGTGAACATAATTAAAATAATTAATTACCGTTTTACTAAATACAACTGATTATATTTTTATACTACAGATATATGTAAAACATTTTAAATGGTAAATTATAATTATTTTATCATGTATTATTCCATGAGTTCCTTTAATAGTTTGGTATAGAGTGGGTGACGCATATTCGCCGCAAAATTCGCTCATTTCCACCTACATCCGACCTGCATTCGAATATTTGAAACTTTTTATGTAAGTTTCAGAAAGTTTACTATATGAAAAAAAATGTTTGATAAAGGAATTCTCTTCAAAACATTGTTTAAATGTTTTAAAAATGAACGCAAACTCAAGAGGAAATCAAGTTGTTCTTGAACAAAGGGGGACACATTTTCGCCGCAATGTATGATATGACCATCCTCATTTTCCTTGTATATTATAAAAACAATTGTTTGCAATTACATGAATTAGCTTGAGAGATCATTCCTATACGATTTTTCTAACAAATATTTACTTAATGACTGCGCATGCGTGCCATATAAATCTTGGAAAATTGCCAAAATCGTTCAAAAACACCTGCGTATTTCTTTATATGTGCGAATAACATTGGAAATGGGGTAAAGAGCAATATCAACAGTTCGAACATTACAAACAGCGTTTAGTATCTATTTAGGCAAGAAGGCACACGAAATTTACAGAAAAATTTGCTAAAACGGCGAAAATGTGTCCACAGCGAATATGCGCCACCCACTCTATATGTTTACTGCGGTAACCAAATAGTACTAACACTTAAAAAAATTTCTCCTGCATATAGACCAGGGCTAGCCAACATATGCATACATACTGGATCTAGACCGGGTTAAAATGAATTCCCTTGCAATATGTTTTATATATTTAAAAGAATCTCAATGTAAATAATTCATAATTTAAAATAAAAGGAAATTTGTTTGCTTTTGTGTGTATGTTTATTAAACTAAATAACTATAAATATTGTCTCATTCTATACAGGTTCTACTAAATGGACCCAAATTGTAAAAAAAGAAGCATAAACCAATGGATAATAATTTAAATGGTAAATCATGAACTTGTGAATGACTTATGTGCAGAAAGATTTTTTCTCATAACTTTTTCTTCTATTTAAAAAAATAGCTATATATATGCCCATTTCAG